CACGTTTTCTGCTAAGTCCTGTTCCTGACTCATGCACTAACCTCAAGGCTGGTTTGATCAATAAACAGTAACTCAAACTTACTATGTCCTCTTTAGACTGCAACCATTAAAAAAATTGCCAAAATAAATTGCCCCATCACAGCCTATGAATTGTTAAACAAAATCTGGAAATTGAATACAAAATATAGTAATTCATAAAACTGAAGACTAACTCAATCTGGAATTTGTTTCTTACAACCTTCTGTTTCCTAAGTTGGCAGGGCTGTCTTAGATAAAGTTGCTTAAATCATTGAATACTTTAGATTAGAGAGAATCTCAGAAGGTCATCTCATTCAACCCTCCAGCTCGAAGCAGAGCTACTTATATAGTTCAAGTTCATAGGACTTCTCAGTTTGAGTTTTGGATACCTCTGAGGACAGATATTTCACAACCTCTCACTTTGGCTGTAGTGCCTGAACACTCTTGTAAAATAGCTCTTTTCCTTATGTCTAGTTGCAATATTCCTTGCTGAAAACTGTGACTGTCATCTTCTACCATTGTCTGTGCACGTATGTCTCAGATGGAGTGATGCAGCTCCCCTGTGAGAGGCAACAATATACTTTATTGATATAAGGTAGTGAGTCAACAAAGTTCAATAGTAAATGTGACAGTGGTTTAGCAAGATTCGATGGCAAAGTACACTTGATTTTTGCTGCATAGATGATGGGGTCAGACAAAACTCTTAGGGAGACTCTCCCATTGATTCATGAGGTTCAAAAAGGACCACTTTTCTTTCTCAGCTCCTTCTTGGAGAGGAGCCTTGGTGAGGCTGGGTCCACTCTCAGTCCTAGACTTGTTAAATGGTCTGAAGGATTATATGCACACCATCAATCCCTTATACTTAGCTAAGATTTCAAAATTTAACATGCTGTGAATACCTTACTAAGAATCTGTTGTGTCAAGGAATCTCTCAACACTCAAGAGTAACCTTGGGAGGCATCCCTGCTCAAGAGTAGATACTGGTGTGCAGCTTCACAGAATGACAGGATCACAAAATATGCTTAGTTGGAAGGGACCCACAACAATCATCGAGTCTAACCCTCAGCCTTGTGCAGGACTGTCCCCAAGAGTCACACCATATGCCTGAGAGCATCACCCAAACACCTCTTGCACTCTGGCAGTCTTGGTGCTGTGATCACTTCCCTAGGGAGCCTGTTCCAGTGCCCAGCCACCCTCTGGATGAAGAACCTTTTTCTAATATCCAGCCTAAACCTCTCCTGACACAACTTCAGGCCATTCCCTTGGGTCCTGTCACCAGTCACCACAGGGAAGAGATCAGTGTCTGTCCATCTTCTTCCCCCCACAAGGAAGTTGTAACTGCAGTGAGGTCTCCCCTCAGGCTCCTTTTTGTCCAGGCTGAACAGACCAAGTGAGCTAAGCTACTCCTCATACCGCTTCCCTTCAAGGCTCTTCACCACCTCCTTTGGACGCTTTCTAAGAGCTTGATATCTTTCTTACATTGTGGTGCCCAAAACTGCACACAATATTCAAGGTGAAGCCGCCCCAGTGCAGAGCAGAGTGAGACAATCCCCTCCCCCAGGACATGAGAAGCAGTAAATATAATTAGCAAATAAGGGATTGAGTACTAATCAGTGAAAAAAACAATGTAATGTGTAATCAGTGAATGCTGATGCCTTTGTTTGTTAAAATGTGTAAATTATATAAAATTTTCCTGATTGGGGAGCTACCCTTTTGTGGATTACCCCCTAGATCTCTACTTTGTCAAACTAGAATAAACAGAATTATCTTGCCTCAGTGTGTGAACTGACACCGTCTGCCAGGGCACTGCTGACTCAGATTAAACTTGCCATCGATCAGGACCCCCAGGTCCCTTTCTGCGGCACTGCTTTCCAGCATCTCATTCCCCAGTCTTTACCTACAGTCAAGGTTGCCCCATCTCAGATGCAGAATTGAGCACTTTCCCTTGTTGAACTTCATATGCCTGGTGACTGCCCAGTCCTTTAATCTGTCGTAGTCTCTCTGCAGGACCTCCCTGCCTTTGAGGGAGTCAACAACTCCTCCCAATTTTGTGTCATCTGAAAACTTGCCTTAGTATTCTTTCTAGTCCTGCATCCAAGTTGTTTATGAAGATGTTGAAGAGCACAGGACCTAAGATGCCGCCCTGAGGATCTTTACTAGTGAGAGATCATCAGACTGATGTTACCCCATTCACTGTTACCCTTTGTGCTTGACCAGTGAGCCAGTTGCTTTACTACCACATGATGTGTTTATCCAGCTGTGTGCTGGACATTTGGTCCAAAAGGATACTTTGAGAGACATTATCAAAAGCTTTAATGAAATCCAAAAATATGACATCAGCTGTTTTCCCTTGATCAAGTGGGTGGGTTACCTTGTTATAAAAGGAAATCAGGTTTGATAAGCAGGACCTTCTTCTCATGAAGCCATGCTGGCTGTGACCAATGACCTGTGCCGTGCAGGGAAGCTCAGTGGTCCGTGGGCTGTCCACTATTAATAGAACAAGATGATAGACTTTAAGTCTTATTTGCGTGCCAATAAGACATCTGGGTCTCTGTTCCAGACCCTGTTGTCATCTGTCCCCCAAAGTCCAGAGTAAACTGGATGCAGCCATCACAACCTCCTCTAGTGGTTATGGTTCAAGTGGAGGATGTGGAAGGGGGCAGGGGGGCACCACCACAATATATCCGGAGGGTCTACTCTATCTTCTCTATACCCACCCTGTATAAAGTGTAAGACAACAAACAGATGTGGCCTGAGCCATCTCTCCTGAGGGCTGAAAAAAATCAGCTCCCCCAGTCTCTCCTCCTACATCATGTGCTCAAGATCCCAAACATCTCTGTGGACTCCTGCTGGTCTTACTCCAGCCTGTTAATGTCTTTCCAGTATGGGGGAACCCAAGACTGGGCACTGGACACAGAATGGTAGGTTCTGTAAAAATCCCATAAAAATGGGATTAGTCACTTCTCTGGGCCTGCTGGCTACACTTCTGTGTATTTTAATTGAATGCATTTTAATTTAGAGTATTTGAGGAATGCCTATAGGCATTGATTACTGAGTAAGCAGCTGTTCTTTCTAAACTGTAAATAAAATGCATATGCCAAGTAACTAGGTATCAGACTCTGATGGAACAAAACCTAGGAAATTAAATTAATGGATATGTTGTAGTCAAGATAAAAAAAAAAGATATTTTTCCATTTTGGTTTCTAAGTTTTCTTCCATTTAGAAACATCTCTGAGAGTCGATACATTCCAGTCAGTGTCTGAAACTAGAAGCTGACTCTTTTAGAACATAACAAATGTTAGAAAAGCATTTAATCACAGAAATATGCATCTGCGAGAGCTGGTCATCATTTCTCTCAAAAAAGCGGGAGAAATAAAGCATACTACAGAATGCAGGAATACTTGAATATAAATTCAAGACAATTTTACTTTGTCTTTAAGACTGATATAAATTTTAGACTTTCACACTACAGCTGATGTAAATTTTTTTAGTAAAATGGTCATGAGGAAAAAAGTAAATCTGAATCTGACATGAAATCTGATAGACTATGATATATCTGTTTTTAAAATTTGTGATCATGACAGACTACCTAAAATATATTTGTCAAAGAAATATCAAAGATTATTAATAATACTTGAACTTTCACTTGTTGAAAGTTGAAAGTTTGAAATAAAAAGCATCATAAGGCCCTCTAAAAAGCAACAATTACATTCAATGGTATTATGACCAACATTATTTTTATGATTCCTTGCATTTAATGAGCAGTAGCTACAATTTGTGTTTGCAACTGTAACTCACGCTTCACCTCTGTTCTAGTCACCAATTTGTCTTGCTTTTCTTTTTCTCTTTGGCTGAAAGTGCAGGTATTTCATGAAAATGGGAGTTCACTGTTAAGCAATGAGAACTGATGCTGCTGTGACTGTTCAAATATAAATATGACAGAAAAATCCTAATTTCTCCATTCCTAGCATGGGGTTTTTCATCATTTTTTTGTTGTTTATCCTTTCAAAGTGAATGGTGCACTGCAAATACAGCTCAAATGTGGTGTTGGTGGGATATACACTGATAAACACCCTGTTAATGGCATTGGATATATCCCAGGATTAACTTTACACTGTGGGAAAATGTGCAAATGTCTTTATTTTTCTGTTTATTTGTGCTTTTTTATAGGCAGCCAAGCATCATGAACCGTGAATAGTAACTAGACAAGCATTCGTTGTATAAATTCAAAACAACACAGAGGTCTCTAAACATCCAGTAAACATACTGTAGCTACCCAGGTGTGCAGTGCAGCTTTAGCTTATTGAAATACCTCCAGGTGATCAGGCTGTGCATAAAGTGAGGCCTAGAAATCAGAGTACTATGCGGTTCAGCTACAATGACACAACCATGAAAGTTCTATCACGTCGCAGGTGAGGACAATCTCTCATGTGGTTTCATGGATATTCCCACCAAATTTAACATGTCCTCAAAATGTCAAAAGCAGCAAGTAAGTTTAGAGGTCAGCCCCTCCACCCCCACCCTGCCACCACTGTTCAATAAAATAGATTAGGCTGTCAGCAATTCAATTTGAGCTAAGAAAAGCTGGGAACATTTTCAGTCCCGACTTACCAGCTATTTCTGTAAAAGTGTTGGATGAGACTCTTAAAAAAATGTTATTAGGCATCTTCAGCTAAGTTGAAGAAATGTGTTCACATTAATTTCAATACTCCTACAGAGTTCAGTTCATCCGACAAGTCCTCCAGAGGAGAGGTTTCATCAATGAAAACAGATTTTTGGAAGGACAAACTAAAACTACACTTGCATTAAGTTTTTGTAATCCCTATTAGCAATTTGACTTGTGGTTAACAGGGTACTTATCTTCATTTCCGTCATCAACAGAGTTTATTATTCATGCTTTGTTCTGATACTGGTAATTAGGATCACTAACTAAGACAAGCTCTTCTCCCCTGATTGCTTGTTGCACCATTCTTTTCTAACAGGTGGGGATCAATACCTGACAAAAATGGACAGAAACAGAAGTTCTGGGTAAGTGAATCCTTAGGACTGTGTTTTGAGGGAGAAGAAAAAGATCTTTACAACACATATTGTCTAAAAGCTAATTCTTTACTTTCATTTACTCTCTCTGCTTCTGGGTTTTTTCCTTCACCTGAAAGTGTCTTGCATAATTCTATTCGCTCTGTGGCAACTTCTATCATGCTGACCCTTGAGGCATCATCTACCTCAATTTCAAAGCCTGTTTCATCCCACCTATATCTGTGTTTTTTCCTACACTGTCTTTTTTGTTTCAATGTTATTCAAATTTTCTATGAAGAGTCTATTCTTTTTGATGTCTACAAATGAGACTCAATAAAAGTAATCAATAATATTTGTTTAAACATTTTAAAAAGACAAATTGTCTATTTAAACAGTGTTAGTAATTGTTATCCAGCTATCAGGAAAGAAACCTGAACCCAAAACCAACCAAACAAGGAACATTTCCTTTAAGCCATTTAGACTAAGTCAAATTTAATTACTTAGATTAACAGCTCATCTCATTATTCCTATGTTCATCAAAAAGTAATTTGGAGTTTACATAGCTGATAGCAGACCTTATGGTGGGTAATTTCACTGGCAAAAAATAGTGAGAACTACTAAATTTCTCAGTATGTCAATAGCTACCTGAATAAAACTTTATTTATTAAGTCACCTTTTTTTGTATCTTTGGTCTCTCTTTAACAGATTAGTTCTAATTAGTATTCTGACTATTATTGTTTCAACATCCACTTTCAGCAACCAATAGTCAAATTTTCATCCTATAATTTCTGCTTCAATTTATCAAACTGTCTTGTAGAAATAGTATTCCATTTTTATTAACCCTGATTTCGGAACGGAAACTTTGATCAGAGTAAAATGGAACAAATCATTAAAATCAGAAAAAGATGCATGCTGATTTTCAGTGCACCAAATCTGAGAAACTCTGTTTCTTTAAAAGGAAGCTAACAGAAAAGATTAATTTTGCATTTTACACCTGGCATTTTTAAATACTGCTTTAAAATTAAAGCTGACAAATTTTTTTTGCTTTGTTTACTTTTAGATTGCTGCAAATTCCTGGGGAAAATCTTGGGGAGAAAATGGCTATTTTAGGATTCTACGTGGACAAAATGAATGTGATATTGAGAAGCTGATTTTAGCTACTTCGGGGGAGCCATAGTCTATCTGTACCATACACTGATGTATCTATTCTTTCCACTGTTGCATATTGAGTCTTTCTAGAGAAATAAAATGTATTCTCTGAACTTAGCCCTCCTTAGGTCTTCCTGACATGAACACAGTGCAGACATCACATCATGCTCAGATCTCACCTGGTACAAACACCCTTTTATACTAAAAGCATGTCATATTCAGTACTATGGAAAACCTTGGTGTCTCACAGACCAAGAAGTTCCCTCCTCTGTTCTTTCCATCTCACCACTGTGTTGTTATATTACTAATGCTTGATTGAACAGTACCTGAAATAAATGGAGTTAGACTGTTAATCCCAAATCACTTCAGAAATATTATGTGCTCTTCCAAACAAAATTGGCTAACACAGCTCGTGGTCATACTGGATAATAATGTCCAAGGAAATGTGAATAGAGTTCTGATCCTGTAGCTGAAGAATTATTTCCTATCATCTTACTTACAACTAAATAAGTTGTATCTATGCATCAATATCTCTTCCAGGAAATTAATTTTTTTCCAGTAGATCTCACAAAGTTAATGCATTCAGAGTAATAAAAATATAACTTGCAGTGAAACAGTGTATTCCTCTTCCTAGAACCACTACCAAAACTGTACAGTTGTAGTATTTTTTAAATCAAAATAACACTAAGAAGAAATGTAGATTCTCTTCAATTCAGTCTAGACTACACTAATTCATAAATTACTTGCCTTCCATTCCCTATTTAACCTGGGATCAGGCATGTGTCACCATTCCCAGAAGACTGTTTCCAATAGATAAAGGTGGAAAAGACATTCTGTTGTTTGTCTCCACTGACATATCTGTAGTCCAGGCACAGTTCCTGGTATTGGTCATCAGGATCATTACTGCACATGAGACTCCCTGAACCTCTTCCCCTACTAATGCTTCTATAGGTGCTTCTGTCTGAAGAAGCAGCTTTCTGCAATACATCCCCTCCTACAAGCATTATGCAAATCTTGGTAGGCTTGAGGACTGTTTTGCCTATTTTGTTAATTAAAATACAGATATTGCAGCTATTGTTATAAGAAGAAATTAACTACTTCTACCCGTCTCAGTTTCAATTAATCCAAAGGCAAGATACCAACAGGAATCATCAGTCATAAAATTATCTATAAAATAAAATATGACATGTTAAATAGGTGATGCAAAACGTGCCATGAAATTTCAATGAACAAAGAATTTTCAGCAACACCTTCAGTGTCTTTAACAGAATATGTTCATTCCTTCTAGAAAATAAGGAACTTGATTTCTAATGTCATCAGCAAGTTTCTCCAAGAAATTTCCATTGAAATAACATCCCTTAAACTAAAGTTGGGTCACAATTTATGTTGCATTACTATTGACAGAGCTATTATTAAAGTGTTAGTACTATAATGCTGCATTACAAGCCTCCTGTGGCCTCTGGTGCCATACAGTAAACTGAATTAAGCTACAAGAAAACCTTTATCTCTTGAAATTTGTAGCGAATTTTAACACAAGCAATTCTAGAAGCTCAAAGTGCTCTGAGGGACCTCTTCTAATTTTAGTGAGGTAAGCCAGTACTTGAGAAGAAAGTTTACTGAGCCATCTACACAGCTATTTCCCAACCTCTTGGTATGTACCGATTCCATAAGCGTGAAGATTTTAAAAGAGTGGAATTTAACATTGAAGTGCATGACGCTGTAAAAACACACCCAGTAAACTCTGGGGAGGAGGATGTGTGTTTAATTTGACTTCAAGTTGGTTTGCACTGCTGTGGCTGTTGCTACTCCTGATTTGCTTGCAAGATCTTCCTAAAATCTGGGCTCTAATGTTAAGTTTCTTCAACCAGGAAAAACTTCAAAACTACTCTCCTGGATTTTTACCTGATCAAATGATCATCTTGGCTTAAACAAAACCCCATATGAAAGCAAAACAAATCCAACCATATCAAAGCAATTGAATGGTTTGAAAAGTGATTTTTCTCTACCCACCTTCTCGGATTACCCTTCTGTGACTATACCCTTAGGTTGTTATGTATATGGGATATGCCATTTTCTTTTAGTATTCCAAGTGTATGAAAATGAGCATCTGGTGTACCAGCTTTGTGGATTCACAACCTAGCACCCATCTCTGTGCATATATAAAATAAACAAATCATGTTTATTGACCTTGACTTTGTGTCTGGATCAGCTTCTTGCACAGAGGTTGAAAGAACCCATATTTGGGACAATACTCTGAGTGATGTATAAGCTCAGTGCCCTTTCCATACTGCCTCAGTATCATAAAGTTGCTATCTGTGGATATGCAACAGTACCTGGAATTTAACAAATCTGCATCTGGAAGCCAATTTATTCTTTAAAAGCAACCTTGATTCTATGGCAGCTATTAGGATACTATTCAGAGCAGAAGTAAAGGGTCTTCTGCCAATTCAGGTCTTCTCACAGTGTTGAAGAGACACTGGGGCCTTGTAGCCACGAGGGGCTCTGCCTCACACAAACTACCTAAAGACAGATTTTTAAATATCAGTAGGGCTTAGATTTCTTCTAGTTCACTATTTGATTGGAGTATGAGGAAAATTGTTCTTCATTAAGATGCCACCTCTCTCATTTCTATTCTTTTTACTTTTGACCTCTCCATCACTAATACTCAGCTATGCCTCCTAGCATGGACTAAAAGTATCATCTAGCCTAGAGATTTTTCCTAAATGAATATAAAGAAATAATATGTGGCTCAGGTTAATTCAATAGAGAGCCCATCAGCTTTAAAACACTAGTATTACTGATTGTCTATGGGAATGCAGAAAGGAAGGGAAACTCCGGGAAGGCAAGGCAGTGCAGGAATAACTTTTGTGTTTGTGACAGAGAGGAAATTTCCTTTTCCATAAAATCAGGAGGGTAACATTTTTATAGCAAGCAAAAAGATAAATCTCCACTCAGATTACACATTACAATATGTCCTGTTAAAAACATGCTATATGAAGTTTTGAATAGCTGTCAGTCTAATGGAGAAATATTAAATCTGGGTCTATCTAGAGGAATGTATGTCCTGCAGCCTGCGACCTGACAGTATGCCAGCTAATGTAAAGCTTTCTGTCTAAATTCCTATATATTTAGAAACAGTTTCAGACAGAACTCTGAATAGAAATAGCTATGAACTTGGAGTTTGAATATTCCCAATATTAACTGAACAGAACAGGTGCCTTTTGCAGTTTGCATTTTGATTTGTATTTCAAAATTTTGTATTGATCAACCAGGGCTTTCCTACAATCAGATCCTAAATGTTATGGCTAGCATCTAAGAAATGACAACTGTTAAAACCATTTGAAATGATTTTAAGTGAAATTAATTTTAAAATTAAACCAGCTAAATAACCAATAAAGGAACCCAGTTATTGTCACACTATTTTTACCTTTTTGCTATCCTATTATTATGGAAACATTGTCTGTTTGTCAAATGATAGTAAATCTCACTCCAAAGATTTCCACAGAAAGCACTATCAATACCCATTAATATTGTGAGTGAGTTATTTTGCTTAGATAGGGGTGCATGGTAATTGCTGAATTTCCTTCTGAGAGGACTGAGTCACAGCCTTTACACCTGGCCCGAGTAAGAGATTTTTAGGGTGCTGAAAGGCACAGAAAACTCCTCTCCACCTTACTAGCAGTTACTGCACACAACTTGGCAAGACCAGCTTTCTCCAGCTGAGAGATGAGTTTGCTCATCACCATTAGGAAGTCTGAAAAATTGGTGACACTTACCAAATAGGGATTTTAATTTCATTTTACAATTTCAGAATCATGCATGATGAAAATACTTTTACACAGCCTTACAAACCTATTAAAACACAGTATGTGCGTGGTCCTGCAAAAATTAACTGAGAAAAGATAAGCATTTGAACATCTCACCTAATGAGCAAAATTGCTTGAGAACAAAAAGCTGAAGGTAGCCAGGCTGCAAATTTAGGTTGGAGCAGAGGAAATACTTTGTCAGTGTGATATTTAAACACCTCAAAGAAGTAGGGCATTGTACATCCTCCTCAGTGGTGTCTTCAGAGAACTGAGAAGCCCCTGTACCAGTGTTGTCCTCAACAAGAGCTCATTACCCAATGTGCAATGTCAATTCACACACTGAGGCAGGATAATTCTGTTTATTCTGGTTTGACAAAGTAGGGATCTAGGGGGTAATCCACAAAATTAGGATCAGGAAAACTTTATATTATTTACACATTTATATTATTTACACATTCCCCGATCAGGAAAACTTTATATTATTTACACATTTTAACAAACAAAGGCATCAACATTCATTGATTACACATTACATAGTTTTTTCACTGATTAGTACTCAATCTTTTATTTGCTAGTTACGCTTTTTGCTTCTCTTGTTAATTTGTGTCCTGGGATGCATCAGGCAAAGCATCACCAGCAGGTCATGGGAGGTGATTGTCCTGCTCTGCTCTGCACTGGGGTGGCCTCACATTGAATATCGTGTGCAGTTTTGGACACTGCAATATAAGAAAGGTATTAAGCTCTTAGAGAGTATCCAAAGGAGGGCAATGAAGCTAGTGAAGGGCCTTGAGGAGAACCCATGTGAGGAGAGGTTGAGGTCACTTGGTCTGTTCAGCCTGGAGAAGAGGAGCCTGAGGGGAGACCTCACTGCAGTTACAACTTTCTCTTGAGGGGAAGAGAGCATTGATCTCTTCTCTGTGGTGACCAGCTACAGGGAATGGTATGAAGCTGTGCCAGGGGAGGTTTAGGTTGGATATTGGAAAAGGGTTCTTTACGCAGAGGGTGGTTGGGCACTAGAACAGGCTCCCCAGGAAAGTGATTACAGCACAAAGCCTGAAGAAGTTCAAGAAGCATTTGGAATGATACTCTCAGGCACACGATGTGACTCTTGGGGATGGTCCCATGCAGGACTAAGGGTTGGACTTGATGATCCTTGTGGGTTGCCTCTAATTCAGCATATTCTTTCATTTTGTGTGATTAATCCTCATGTTCAGTTCTTCCCTCTATTTGAGCATGTGGTCAATGAGTTGCTGGTCAGGATCTGCCCTACTGGAATTACCTTCCCCCCAGTTACTGCTCAGTCCTGCTGACTTCACTCCTGGTGGCTATTGGGCAGATAGCCCATTCATCTTGGGAATGTTCTTCGTTTTCCTGAAAACAAAAGATTATTTAAGCATACAAGTTTCTACAAGTTTTGCAATGTACTTATTTAATCATACTTCTTAGCTATAGCTACTGATTAACAACAAAAAGAATTGCAAAGTTTGGTTCAAATCTTGAGGGAGTAGATATCACCAGCACAGTGTTGTTTCTACCCTGCCTTTAGCTGGGGGATGTAATATGTGGCTTGAATTTTGCCTGTCTGCTGTTTGCTGCCTTTACCTTTCCTAAGGAGGTTATGGTTAGGAAAAAAAGATTTTATTTGGGGTTCTTGATTTGTCCTGGATGGCCAGAGTGAGATTGCTGAAGGAGAGCTTAGGGAGGCTTCATGATTTCAAAGCTGGCAGCCAGAATTGGAACTCAAAGCTGCAAAGCTTTATGTGTAGCTTAGTACAACAAATGACAAGTTTTATGGGAATACAGCCTAAAAGAATAGGAAAGGAAATTCCAAGGAACATAAGAAACTTGCATCTGCAGCAGGGACTAGACAAACCCTGAGAGGAATGACAAGGAAACTATTTTCCTGTAGTTTCAGGGATCAAGGAAAGTTGCCAGACTAAGAGCAACCCTGAAGAAAAGGAGCTATACTTATAGAAATCAGTTGGAGGGAGATATATTTGTAAATCTTTTTAGCCTAATGTTTTACTAGGGATGTGATGAGAGCTTGCACGTGGGCACTTAATGCTGCATCTACCATTTGAAAACTATTTCCTATATGAACAACTGACATCTTTGCACCCACTCCTAGCTGCAAGGATCAAGCCTTTGTCAGGGCGGAGACTGTCTTTGCCTGAGTTAAAAGCAAATTGTAACATTGCTTTCTTCTAAAGTTCTCCTACATCCCCTCACTCAATATATACACATAGCCAATTACTGTGTTTATTTCTAGACAATGTGGGAACTCCCAGCTCCTGAAATTTTCTTGGTCCCACATGTTGTTCAGCAGCCACCCAGAAACAAGGAGGATGGCCAAGGTCAGTGAGTGAGGGCTGCAGAGCAAGCACCTCTGATTCGTGTAAAAAGAACTTCTTCTTAGGGTGTTTTAGAGACAAAATGAATGCAAAGAAAGGAATAAATCTTCACTTTTCTTCATAAGTCTAGCTGTCAAATAACACACACTGTAATGCTTATGTCAGTGAATGTTATTACTTCATCTATAACAATTTATTGCTGTGTCTGGAAATCTTGGTCATGGAGCAGCACTGTGCAAAGCTGTTCCTGGAGAAGGCAGCTGAGTGAGAAGCCTGAGGCAGATCAGATTCTATTCACCACTGGAATCCTCAGTGCTTTAGAGTTCTTGG